TTCAGGATTGGTATTATGTGTTAGTAGGGGAGGGTAGAATGAGTAGGGAAGTGTATAATCCCTGTGCTTAAAAGAGTACCTCATCCTGCAAACCAAAGAGTCACAGGTTTGATTCCCAGTCAGGGTACATACCTGGGTTGTGAACCAGGTTCCTAGTAGGGGGTGCAATAGAGGCAACCATATATTGGTGTTTCTGTGACTCACTTTCTCCCTCTCTTTCCCTCTGTTAATAAATAAAATCTTTTTTAAAAAAGAGTGCCTCATCAGTTATACCTCAATTAAGAAAAAAACACATGAAAAATTAGTTACCAATTCATGGCACTTGATAGACATGCAGTGAATATTTGCTGAATATAAGAGAAAATGCCTCAGAGGGAAAACAGGATAGTCAACCTACTAGGCCTTATAATGGAAATGCTAACATTGAAGACATTTCTCCTGATCTTGGAGAACTTGTAACCCACCAGACGATATAAAAAAAAAGTACACTGAGAACTTTCTGCAGGTTGGAACTTTCAGACTAGTACAGATCAAATGTTATTAGAGTATCAGGGAGGAGGAAGGTACTTCTGGAATGTTTCATGGAGGAGAGGCATTTTCATATGGGACTCAAGGGGTGGGGATTTGTCATAATATAGTTAATGGAGGAGAGCATTGTGAGGTGAGAAGACAAGGGGCACTTTCAGCTTTTAGAAGTTAGACCAGCTTGCCAAGGATGAGGGTCTGAAGGGAACCATCTAAGCCAAGCTAAAAACGTTTGGGCTTTGCCTGAAGGCAGGGGGAAGTTTGTGCAGGTTTATCACAGGAAATAAGCACAGTTGTGTGTAGGGTGATGACTCAGGCTGCAGATCAGAATTTTATCATCTATCTCTGAGGAGTCAGCCATTCTATATGCCAAAGTCATGTAACCTGGTAAGTTTGGAAATATTTGGACTGTGAATTTGTAAATTAGGCCATAATCAGAGTGACGAGAATATATGATCACAGGAAGGCCATTCATTTTTCCCAGGACTACCCCAGTTTTAACTCTGAAAGTCCTATGTTCTGGGAATATCTTTGTCCTGGGCAAACCAGGACAGTTGGTCACCTCACCTCCAGGGAAGTGGCACTGAAAAGAATAAAACCCCCAGACAGCTGGGGGTTTTTTGGAAAGAAAAAGAACACATTTTTATTATTTTTTAATTGTTGTTCAATTACAGTTGTCCCCATTTTTGCCCCATTGCTCTCCTCTGCCTTGCCCATCCTCCCCTCCCACATTCAGTCATCCTGCCCCCAGTTGTCCTTGTCCATGGGACCTTTATACATGTTCCTGGACTTGACTCTTCTTCTTCTTCCGCTCTTATCGCCCTCCTCCCTCCCCTCTGGTCACTCTGTTTGTTCTTTATTTCCATGTCTCTGGTTCTGTTTTGCTTGCTTGTTTGTTTTGTTGATTAGGTTCCACTTACAGGTGAGATCATATGTACTTGTCTTTGACAGCCTGGACTGTTTCACTTAGCATAATAGTCTCCAGTTCCATCCACGCTGTCGTGAAGGGTAGGACAGCCTTCTTTCTTTCTGCTGTGTAATATTCCATTGTGTAAATGTACCACAGTCTTTTGATCCACTCATTTACTGATGGGTAAAAAAGAGTGCCATTTACTATTAGGTAGAGTTGCTGTCACTACCTGTCTTGGTAGTGAGGCTTAATATACTAGGTTTTCTGTAGGGTCCAGTGGCAAAGCTTCCCCTATCACCCAAGAAGGGTATTCAAGGGTGCACCCTTGAATATACCCTCTTCTTGTAGTTGAACTTTCATTGCTGTTGGCAGGTTAATGGTAGCAATTTACCCAGGCCAGTCAGCTGCAAGGACTGTCTGTGTCCACTGATGACCAACCTCTGCTCTCCATGGAGGATCAGCTTTGCAGGGGTAGGGTGGTGGTGCTCCGATGTGGTCTGTAGTTGTCCATTGTATGCACAGGCTCTGGGTTTCCTGGGTGGTATAGGCCAAGGTCAGCCCCATCCTATGTTCTTCCTTGAACACAGGAGCCACCCTTCCTGAGCTATTGCTTCCTAAAGCAATCTGAGGTGGCTGCTACTTGTGCTGGGCTTTGAAGTTTCCAGTTGGAACCAAGCTGTGAACCCAGGTTGGCTGCTATTAGCGCTGGTCCTGGGGCCACTAACTGGGGGCATGGGGGTTAGGGGCTCACTGAGGCCAGGTGTTGCTTGTTTGAGAGGATTTAGGAAGTTGTGTAGCTTTAGGAAGTTGTGTAGCTTTAGGAAGTTGTAGAGCCAAGACTAGCCATTTGTATGGAAAAGTCACTGTTAACAGCTTGGATGGGCCCATAAGATAGGTGGGATGGAGCCTCAGGGGGTCTCCAGGGCAGGGGAAAGAGGGATAGCCAGGTCAATGGAGTCTCAGATATGGCACTTACCTGCCAGCTCTGTGGGTCTGTGTAAGGGAGGGTTCAGAAAAGGATCAGTGGCCTCTGCTTGCCTTTCTATCTGGGAGAAAGCTGTCCCCCAGCTTTTGCCTTGATTCCACGCACTTCACATCCTATCCTTATGCCACTGGTGCCTTTCAAGCTGCTACTCCAGTGCTGGAGCTCTGAGGGAGTGGGTATCAATACGTAAGGCCATGTGTGGGTTATTTAAGAGGAATTACTTGGGACTCCAGAGGTTTCTTCCACCAACTCAATCCCCACTGGTTTTTACAGCCAGAAGTTGTGGGGACTTATTTTCTTGGCACTGGAACCCTGGACTGGGGGACCTGGTTTGGGCTGGGACTCCTCACTCTCGAGATATCCTTCCTGAATTTTTTTCCTCCTCACATGGATGTGGACCCAGCCTGTTTTGCATCTCTGTCCCTCCTACCAGTCTGGATGGATGTGGTTTCTTTAATTCAGTAGTTGTTGGACTTCCATTCAACTCAATTTCTGATGGTTCTGAGTGATGGTTGTTCTGCAGTGCAGTTGTAATTTTGATGTGGTTACGTGAGGAGGTGAGCTGTGTTTACCTATGCCTCCATCTTGACTGGAAGTAAGATGGCTGTTTTGAATGAAGGATATCCTTTATATCCTCTGAGATGAGTCCATTCCTTATTGACTTTAGTAGGATCACAGAGGCAGCCTCTGGAATACTAGGTGCTACTAGTACTTTGCCTCAACCTCATTCATTGTTCTTTCCACATCAGCACAATTGGGACCAGTCTTCCTGTGCCCAGATCATAAGAGTGCTGAGAAATACCTTTTTTTGTTTCTGCTAGCTTAATACTAAAATCAGTAAGGGCTAAGATTGTAGGGATGAGTTGGGAGACAAATTTTGGAGTGAGACTCAGCCCAAGGTTTTATTGGAGGAAGAAGAAAACTAGTGGGTTGAAAAACGGTAGTCCCAAAGGATGGAAGAACAAACACTCTTGAGCCTGATCGCTATCTGTCATCCGGATAGTGTCATATCCCCTTAGCACACATCCTCACTGTTCCGCAGCACAAGGAGAAAGCTGTAGTAAAGGCACAGCACTGATCCTGTCTGCTGACTCCTCTCAGAGATCTTCAAATGTAATATTGATTATATATAATAATAATGGTAACAAATTGTAGGAATTGTTTTGGTACTGGTTACTCAACAGCTATGGAAAATACATTTATGGTGTCCAGTTAGTGGGTCTTTTTAGATGCTAGCTTTATTTGTAGCTTCAATGTACTTTTATTCCTTCCTCTTAAAAACTCTTAGAGAAGTATAGAAATGATATGCCTGGCCTTTTCTTAAACATGGATAGTGCTTCAGGTGATGCTTTCGTTTGCTGAGTTGTTTTTCTGAGTTGGTTATGGATTTATTTAAGTACAGTGATACTCTTGGTCTTGCCAACCTGGAAACAAGCCGAATGTGATCACTATAGAGAAGCCGGGATGAGCTGCCCAGATGTTGTTCCCAAACTAAGTCGAGGGGCAGCTGCCCAGGAGCTCAGTAATGTGTTGGCTGTAGTAATTCCCGACTGATTCCCAAATGTTCCTTTCCTTTCTAATGTTTATTGTATGCTAATTAAAGAGAATAATTTTATCCAAATTGCTACTATTCTTCAGGCATTTTGAGGAAACAAGGTTTTCATAATCAAATTGCTAACTCTGCTTCAGAATTTAGGAGTTGGTACCCACTCCCTCCTGAAAATGAGTAAATGAATTCAACCAATGAATGGATGAATTCAATCACTCAAGAAATATTTATTAAATACACCTACTGTGGTATTCAATACTCATGTGGCCATAGGATGAACTATTAACCCAAGAGCTGCAGTCCCAATTTTAGACTAGGAAGAGAAAGAGACACCAGTCGAATAACAGTATGTCTGCTAGGGGAAGTGCACCGAATACGGTGTAAATGGACTCCAAATGCGTAAAATAGGGACGCTGACTTCCTCTGCATGAAAGGGATCAGGAAGGACTTTCCAAAGAAATTAATACATGAACTGAGCTCTGGGGAGTGGGTAGGATTTAACAGGAGTGGGGACAGGGTTGGGGTGGCCGCACTCCAGGCAGAAGGAGCAGTGTGGGCAGATGCCTCTGGGAGGAGGAAGTGCATCACGTTCGTGAAACTGGAAGATGATGTTAAGACCTGTGGTTAAGGTAGGGTCTGGTTGGCCTCAAGTAAATGAGATACAAAATAAAATCTTTATGGTGGAAAACAACAGGATTGATGTTTATATTAAAGTTTTTGGATTAAATACTTAATGTAAAAGCAGGATTGTTCTTTAGAGAAATATCTAAAATATATAGTTAAGTACAAAGAAGAAAGTCACTCATAGCCACACACCCAAACACAAACCATTAACATCTGGGTTGCTTATATTCCTAGTGAGTCTCCTATACACAGGTTTTATACAGGTGTTGAAACTGTACTATGTGTATTATTTTATATGTTGCTTCTGTTTTCTTACTATTAAGCTATAAATGTCAACCCATATTGTTATGTACTCTAAGTATCCTTTTCATTAGGGGCATAATCACCCTGTTTAATCTGTTGAGCAGGTTCCATCCTGGTTCTCAGTCCACATGGAAGAAGATCCATGAAAGGGTATGCAGTCTTCTGACATCCCACCGAGCTCGGCAACGCCTAAATGAGGTTAGGGCTTCTCATCAAACCAGATCTTTGCAGAATAACATGGGAACTGGGACTTAACAGTTCATTGGGGAAGACAGACATTAATCAAGGAACTGCAAAAATAAATGTAAAATTGTGACACTTACCAAGGAGAGTATATGGTGTCCTGGGAGTGCAGGAAAAGGGGTGTTTCACTTGGTTGGGAAGTCAGAGCAGCTTCCCTGGGGAGAGACAGTGGAGCTTGGAACTGAACAATGAGTAGCAGCTAATTTGGAGCACAGCATGCATCAAAAGAAGGTCCTGCAGCAAGAGGGAGGAGGGTCCTTTCAAAGGACTTAGAGAAGACAGTGTAACTGACCCAAAGCACATTCCCTTCCACCAGACATAGGAATTCTGGTCCAGGGGTGGACCCAGAGAAGTGTGCGTGGTCTGCGTAAGGCCCACAGCAAGGAAGAAATTTTCCCTAAAAGCTGTTGAACGAACTCCAAAAGAGTCTGGTAGTTTTCCTAGAAATAAATCATAGATTTGTTCAAGGGCCCTAGAGTTTTCAAACCAGAAACAGCCAGGCAAAACCCTGTTTTGAAGAAGAGAGAAAAGTTAAAATTCTTACAGTAAAAGGTACATTCTTGAGAATTATCATTCCTACATTCTTAGTCATAGGGTATGTCCAGAATGGTTGTCAGGTGACAGCCAATCAGGATGAATGATGGCTGCCAGGTGGTTGGAGTATGCGCACCAGGCGGTCTGGTCACATCCAGTGACCTAGCTGTCAGGTGTATGTAGGAGGCCTTCAGGTTATCTGGAGGTCCAGATGCATAACCAGGCATTGATGCAGGATTGGAAAGTTAAAAAATAATTTAAGTTAGAACTAGGCTAACTTAGGCTAGTTAGAACAAAAATTGTTTTTTTTCTCATGCCTGAATCTTGATAATGTTAACAATTTTAGCAGCTGCGTTGAAGTGACCCCATTTTATATATTCCCTATCTTTACTCTTTTCTCAAAGTTAATAAGGTGTTTTGTGGGGAATGTTTCTGATTCGTAGGTAGATACAGCCAGTACTTTGTCTGCTGCAGATGGACAGTCATTAGTTACGTGACCTGTCACCATTTCAGAAGAATTCAAATGGAAGGTTTGAGTGCCCACGGTGGTTGGATTTCACTGTACCGTGTAGTTGAATTGGTTGTACTGACTTACTTAAAAATGCTGGCGTATCCTAAATCTATAGGGTGACACTTAAAATGAGTAACGATTACTGTACCACGGGGGTAGTGGATTACTTCCTCTCTGAAAAGTCACAGTCTTTCCAAGTAAGGAAATCCCTTTAAAATGTAAAAAGAAAGGAAGGGAGAGAACAAAGGAAGGAAGGAAGGAGAAGGAGGAAGAGAGAGAGAAGGAAAGAGTACCTATGTTCACACATGAATGTGAACCCCAGATACAGAGTATACGGCATTCATACACCTCTTAAATGCAAAACTACAAAGTGTTCTGTCACTGATCCTTATTACATTATGAGTAATGCAGTTGCTGCATTTGTTTTTTTTTATAGGAGGATTTTATCTCTGAAGTAAGTCACACCCTTGAAAGACCAAACTACCCTCTGAAGAACTACCCGGTTCGTGCACAGAGATATTTTTAAGCTGATGTCTTCTTATATAAGTAAGCAGCTTAAGTGCTTCTTATCATGATTTGCTAAAATGATTTTAGTTTCCTGCTGTCAGTATGAGGTACTTAGAAAATGCACTGGACAAATGCGAAAAAGACCTAAGAACCATGTTCCTCCTTCACAGAGTGGCAATGACAGCACGTATGTGGGTCTGCCAGCTCTCTTGCCTCCCCCGTGTCTCTGTCTCTCTCCTTATCTAATGGCCCCTCTTTTCAGCTCCTTTAACACAAGTTTTTCCTGCTGTGAGGCCTTTGTGCACGTTGCCCTCTCTGTCTGGAATACTCTTCCTGCTCCTGCTTGGGTCACTTCTGTTCATTCTTTGAGTCTCATGAATTTCTGTGACACTTCCTCCCCTTCTGAGGCATACCTTTTTCTTAGCACCCTGTACTTTCATAAGGTATGACATAGTTTGTTGTTATATGTTTATATGGCCTGATTGCTTAAAAGTCTGCCCCTTCTTCTTGAGTGAAACCTGCCTCTCCTGCTCACTATTTTATAGCCGGCATTCAGTGCACTACAATGGAATCTCATTTAACTTGGGTGAATTCAACCACACATGCTAGGCCTGTGTTCTCAACAAGAACCAAGCTCCCATGCCCTACCTGTTGCTGTCTTTGTATCAGATGACTCTCCACTGTGGTTGGCGCTCAGTAAATATTTTTTATGAGTGAATGCTGAATGAGGTAATGAGGCAACCCTGAATTCAAGTACGAGGCAAGTAGTTGGCCACATAGTAAGATGTCATCATTTCTCAGGTATTCTTTTCCATTCCTAACCCAGGCCCAAAGTAATAATAGCTAATAGCTCTTCATTATCAAGTGCTTCTTGAGTGCCAGGAACTGGTCCAAATACTTCACATGTATTAAATGTGTTCATGAAGTAGTTACTATCATTACTTCCATTTTATGGACAGGGAAACTGAGGCACAGAACACGCAGGCACCTTGCTCAAGGTGCCACGACTAGCGAATGGCACAACTGAAACAGGAACCTGGGTATCTGACTTCAGTGACCACACCTTTAATCATTACATTCTGTTGCTTCTCCAAACCTAGGGTGCGTGATAGGAGAACTCTGGGGAGAAAGAGCAGAGCCCTTTGGACCCCGGGAGAGTTTGTGGGCATTTCCAGGACTATCTCTCACAAGGATCCTTTGGTGTTGTATTATGAAGTCCCTCATTCCAGCAATTCTAAATAATTATGAGTCTTTTTAAACAATAAAGAAGTGTGGGATAATATGCTATGTTTTTACTTAGGGTCAGGCTCCTGAAAATCCGGTTTGCGGGCCCTAGGACTGGCCGGGGCGCCCGCCTGCAGCACAGAGGAATGTGGAGGGCAGCTCAGTAGTTGCCGGTTTTGCAGGCTCCTACTTTAGAACGTTCTGCTTGGTAGATTAGAGCATGGATTCCGGGCCACTTCATCTCCGGTTGCCAGAACAGTCATCTAGGCATTTATTAGGTAGTTATACAGAACACAACTCACATAATTACCACTTAGGGAACATGGCCCACATAATTACCCAATGACAAATTGCGCTGAAATTCAACACAGGTGACATTGAGTTACAGAAAGCCCTGAACCAGCTAATATGGGGACACTGATGTAAGGGGATAGAGAGGAAATGAGAAAAAATTAGTAAATTCCTGGAAAATAGGTTTCCAGTACAACACAAGATCCCATCCAATGGTCTCTATGCCCAGTTCCCGGGTCATGGACACCTGCCTGGTGAGGCAGGGGTGCTGCAGGGCTGTGGGTAGGAGGGTTTTCGTGGTTGTAAAAACCCGGATGACTTTGGCTGTCTTAAGCAAATAGGACATTTATTAGAAAGAGGCTGATATCTCAGTGAATTCAGAGAAGACCCAAATAAGCAAGGGGAAGCAGCTAAAGCAGGGCAGCCCCAGTCATGCCGTGAGGTAGGAAGACAGCCCCAGAGAGGAGCGTCCCGCAGAAGACCCAGTGGGTTTCCACTACCCGCCTCCTTCCCTGCTTTTCTCAGCGAAGCCCTCCTGCTTGCAGCACCATTTTTAAAAAACAGTTCCGCACTGAACATTCTGTATGTCCTAATGTCCTCACCCTCCCACCCCAGAATAGCCTCTGTGTTCTCACCTCTAGAATGGAATGTTTTGTCAGGATCGCAGAATACCGGAGGTGGTATATTCAGCTTAACAAACTGACTCAAGGTACTAATGTGTTTAATCATTGCCCACCTCAAATTTGGTGTCAAGAACACTATCTTTCTTTCTTTTTTTTTTTTGATCGTGCTCACGTCCTACCTCCTGACACAAGTCACTGCAGGATTGGAGGGCAGCACCAGTTCTCGCCCCTTCCTTCCCTTCTCCCCTTTCACTGTTTCACTGTTGATCAGCTCTCCCTCCCTGGTTTCCTAGTGATCTCAAGATTTGGGGGAATTGAAAAAGTAGAATCTTACCACAAAAAGGCCAGGGATTCTTGAGCCAAAAATAATAAGCCCAAAATTGTCTAACTAGGGAATGTGTAGAGGAAATGAGTAAAAGGGGTTGGAGTATATTTCCCCTTATTCTGGATGGTTTGGGAGGTGGTAGTTTGGGTCCCTGCCCCAACAGGTTGGCTCAGTTGGTCGGAGCATCATCGTGTGCACCAAAAGGTTGCAGGTTTGATTCTGGTCAGGGCACATACCTTGAGTTCAATACCTGGTCAGGGCGTGTATAGGAGGCAACTGATTGATATTTCTCTCTCATTTACATGTTTCTCTCTCTCTCCCTTGCTCTCTCTCTAAAATCAATAAAGATATCCTCGGGTGAGTATTAAAAAAAAACAGATTATTCCTTGTATATTTTTAAATGGTTAAAATGGGGGTCTTTATGTTATGCAAATTTTATCACAAAAAAAATCACGTAAACACACACAAACACCGATTATTCCTAGTTCTCTTAGAAGGCATGATTATCTTTGTGTCATGGTTCTTACCAAGTGTGTGAGCTGATTGCCCAGGTCCGGTCTGTACTTGCTGAGATTCCGCTTCGGAGGATGGGCTTGTAAGGCCCGCCCCTGTGAAACCCCCTGGTCCCTTGAGCAGAGCCAGGCCCTCTGTCTTTTGCTCCTCCACAGGCCTCTACTTAGTACTTATTTCCTTCAGCCTTGTACTGCAATTGGTTTTCCTTATGAAAGCTCTCTCAAGAAGGGGATGGAGGACTGGAAGGGGAGTCTCTAAACGGAGGGGAGACTGACCAAATGGCACCAACTCTGGCCCCACTGAGTGTCCTGTGGTCCCAGTTGCCACCACCATGGCTGGCCTTCAGGGGGAGCTAGTCCACTTTTAATGCTCGGAGCCAGAGGGTGAGCAAGGAATGCAGGCACAGACAGAAATTATAGCAAAAAACTTTTCTAAAAGAATAGCCAAAAGGAAGTAAACCAAGAAAAAAAAAACAGGGCAAAAATTAACTGAAGGGCTAGTTTCTGATTCCGTCAGAGCTCATTGGGCTTCCAGCTCCTAAAGTAGTAGCTAGCATGGCCTCCAGGCTGACTTCCCTGCTGGTAGGCAGGAGCTATTTTACTTCCTCCCACAGCGGCTCCTTCACCTCCATTATGACCAAAGCAAAAAGCAAGCCAGGCTATATACAGACTCTAAACTCCAACTTTAGGGACCCTCACTCTTTGATTTGGTCACCAGGTTCTGAGGGATTTGTCATTTGGTGGCTTGTGGGGATTGACTCAGTGGATAGTGACTCACCGGTGGCCCTTCATCCCAGGAGTCCCACAGACCCGGCAGGCAGTGGCTGTGCACCCAAACCACAAGGCAGATCCCTGAGTCAGCAGTCCTCTCTGAGCATCAGAATCATGAAGAAGTGGGGAGGGGCTCTGAAAAATACTGATGCCCAGGCTCCACCTCAGACCAATTCAATCGGAATCTCTGCACTGTGCTCAGTATTGTTAAAACTGTTCTCCAGGGGATTCTGATGCATGTTTAAGATTGAGAATCTCTGCAGTGGGCTGCCAGTGCCTTGAGGATGGGAACTTGGAACACCCCCCAGTCCTATACTGTCCATGCTCAAAAATGTTTGTTCCACAGAATGGAATTGATGGGGCGCATGTTTACCAGTTTAGCTCAGTGACACGTAGCAGTTCCTGCTCGTATACAGTGTACCAAGGACCACACTAACTCCTCACAATAGCACTCTGCAGAGGTGGGTACTCTCCAGAGTACAATGTACTCTGCTGTACATTGTACAAAGAGGTCAGGTAGCTTGCCCAAGACCACACAGCTGCTTTGTCATGCTAAGTAATATTGCTTCATTCTGCATTGGGAACATAGGACAAGGGGCTCAGATACCAGGTGATCCCAAGGAAGAGGCATGCCAAGATTAGGATAGAGTGAGATCATCTTTTCCTTGACTGTGTTGATTGTGTGTTCTTTTTTCTCAGTCCCACCTGTAGGGGACACTGAAAGAAAGCTGGAAGAGTATCATGAAGAACTCCCTCATCCAGGCAACTGACACATCCTTAGGGAAATGAACAATTTTTGTTATGTGTGGGAGTTGCCGGTGTCTAATCCACTTTAAATCAAACCCTGTGCTCAATCTTTTGTACCCAGGTAAGAGTTGTTGATTAAAGTGTTCATTGTTTGGAGCTCATATTTTCTTGTGGAGCTGGAAAATGTGTGTTTTAGTTTGTTTAAGTGTTTGTTTGGAGCTTGAAATAAAAAATAACAATAGTTAAGTGGTAGGTGCTTGGAAAGTGCTTCTTATAATTTTATTGAAAATGTCAAGATGCCTTTTCAGGTATTCCTCATTTTTGGCATGGAGTGTCCTTGAAAAGTCCTTTTTTTCTCTCTTTCCTTCCCTCCCTCCTTCCTCCTTAATTTCACCCTTTCTCTCTTTCTTTCCAAATCAATTTATGTTTTACATCAGCTAGAGGAAGCTGCTATTTAGTAGAATAACCTGATAAATTCTCTAGGGAAAGACTACCAACCTGATTTTTTCTTTTTTGGTAAATCTGTTTTTTTTTATGTTGTTTATTTGTTTTTTAGTGTTAGGCTTTCTGTACATGAAATGCACTGAAAATATAGGAAGAGGGAGGCTTGCATCTGGAGAATTAAAATCTTGATTTAAAAGGTTCAATTTTGCCCTGGCTGAGGTGGCTCAGTGGACTGAGCACCAGCCTGCAAACCGAAGGGTTGCTGGTTTGATTCCCAGTCAGGGCACGTGCTTGGGTTTTGGGCTAAGAAGTCCCTGGTGGGGAGTGTGTGACAGGCAACCACGCATTGATGTTTCTCCTCCTCTCTTCTTTCCTCCCTTCCCATATCTCTAAAAATAAATAAATAAAATCTTTTAGAAAAGGTTCCATTTCTATGATACATTTGTAGGAAGAGGCTAATTTCTTTGGACTACAGTTTAAACTCATTCTTCTGCCACTCTCCCTCCTCTTGTTCAGCAGCTCTTCATAAATTTACATGAGGAACAACAGCTTCCTCCACATTGCTCTGAAAGATCTACGTTAAGCGAATAGGCTTTGTAAATATGACTGCCGAAACTGGCTTTAAAATTAGAAGGGTGCTCACACGGTTTGAGGGAGCGCGAAGAGGGTGCCATGGGATGAAATGGAGCTAGCGGCACATCTGTCTCCATGAGCACAGACCCCGAAAAGCGAGGGCCTGGAGGCGGAAACCTTTGTCTTCCTCCGTAGTATAACCTGAGCACTTTCCTCTACCACGCCCTGCAACCGTGGGGGTTTGGGGAGATACGATGAAGGGTCAGGGCTTCCTTTCTCATTATGACCATAGGAGTTGGTTCATTAGGTAAGTTAGGAAAAGGAAATTCAGAATTAAAGGAGGAAAGAAAAACCTCCCAAAGCAAACACAATAAAACAACACTCATTTGTCCTCTTCTCAGAATCTCAGCCAAACGAAGGTATATGTTACAATAAACACTGCACCTTTGGAAAACAGACAACAGGCTTAGATTTCACCTGCTTATACATTCTCAGAGCATCTGAAATTATAGTTTATTTTTGTATCTAAGTTGTCATAAAAAATAAAAAATACTGCATCCCATAAGACCGAGCTACAATTCTTTGGAAAGGACTACTCACGAAGGAGGGTGTGAGCAGTCAGAGGAGGCCGTTCAGATCAGTTGGTAGCGCGTGTGGCTTTATTGCTCAGGTATACTCTGTGACATTCATGTTTGTTTTTTAGCATAACTTCTTAATTCGATTTATGAATAAGATCTTAAATGTCCACCCTTATTTAAAGTCTTTTTGTTGTTCTTTTTCACAACTCAATCTGCCCTTTTCTCATTTTCTGATCTGTTAACTCTATTGTTTAAATTATTCTGATTTTACCTTTCTCCAGGAATTACTTTAGTTTTGAGGAATCATATTGGGCCAGGGTTGCAGCTGAGACCTTTTGCTTTTGGAGTATATAATAACATGAATAATTTTGTGACATATTGGGGTTTGGACTCCTTTTGGGAAGATCTGTCGTTGAACATAATAAACATTCCCCTTGTCTTACTTCAGTTTATTATTCCTTTCTTGACTTTCACAGTTGCTGATCTATCAAAGCCTGGACCATATTTTCCAAACATGTTTCACAGGGTCTGGGTTTGCAGAGAGTCTTGGGAAGATCTTCCTCATGGAGCCTGGGCCCTGTAAGCAAAGCCACCGTAGAATGAAGTCATTTCCCTATTGTCACCTGACTGACTCAAAGTTAACTGAAGCCTATAGGCCCTGAATTCAAAAAAGGGTCTGTTTATAATGGGATGTAAGATGTCTGTTAGGGCACATAACCTGCTGTCTCTCAGATTGCCAGGCATCTGAATAAAGTGCCCATAAAGATTTAAAAAATATGAGTGTATATGATTAGTTTAACATAAAAGAAAATAGTCGGTTTTAAATGTGTAATTAGCGGCTGGATGGGTTATGTGTGCAAGTTCAGCCCAGCCGCTGAGTGCCTGGCCACTTGCAGTAACAGCCATGGATGGCTCTGCCTGATTAGTTCCGTTTAAGGAGCGCTCTGGCCTCTCTGAGAGCAACCCAAGGAAATGCCATGTTTTCCAATCTGTGTGTGTCACCAATAAATCTGCTAGCACCATCTGAGGGACCTCTGTCCCAGCCCTCCTTGGGGACGCGCAGGTTTTGGGGAGAAGCCCCTCCTGTCTTTCCCTGTACCAGGAACTCTGCTGACAACGATAACTGCAGAACTGCTACCCTCAGCCTCCTGGGGTCTGGTCCCTCCCACTCCTCCACACTGAGTCTAGGGGCAGCAATAATTACTTTGTTCATCAGAGGAAAGAGCCTGTGCTTAGTTTCACCTTAGAACTAGGAAATTAGGCAAACATGGGGTCATGCCAACATACAGGCTTTTCCCTGGTGCAGATGGGTCCTTTCCAGCATGGATGGGTTGTTGGAGCTTCTTTAGAGTGAGTAGCTCCCACTCTGAAAATTTCCCCTTGAGATTCTGTATCTTTTAGAGTGACCCTCCCACACCCCAGTAAGAATATGTATTTTCTTTCTTTTTCTGATTAGTAAATGAAAGCTCTTTTATTGCTTGATAAACAAGGATACAGTGACACATATTCATAAGAAACAAAACGACCCTGGCTGGTGTGGCTCAGTGGATTAATGGTTAAGTTTCGGCGCCCCCTTTCTAGTAAATAAAATCTTTTTTTAAAACGAATTCCTCCCCAAATGATCCTAGAGCAGGAGGTATCAATCTTTTAACTTTTTAAAACTATATTTTATTGATTATGCTTTTATAGTTGTCCCATTTTTTCTCTCCCATTTATCCCCTCCACCCAGTACATACCCTCCCACCAGCATTTCCCCTTAGTTTTTAGTTCATGGGTCATACATGTAAGTTTTTTGACTTCTCCATCTCCTATATTATTTATAACCTCCCCCTGTCTATTTTGTACCTACCATTTATGCTTCTTATTCCTTGTACCTTTTCCCTCATTCTCCCTGCACCCCTCCCCATTGATAAGCTTCCATGTGATCTCCATTTCTGTGATTCTGTTGCTGTTCTAGTTGTTTGCTTAGTTTGTTTTTTCTTTCTTTCTTTCTTTCTTTCTTTCTTTCTTTCTTTCTTTCTTTCTTTCTTTCTTACGGATCAGTTGTTGATAGTTGTGAGTTTGCTCTCATTTTACTGTTCATATTTTTGATCAAATGATAGAGGACTTTTTCTTAGATAAGTCCCTTTCACATTTTATATAATAAGGGCTTGGTGAGGATGAACTCCTTTAACCTGACCTTATCTGGGAAGCACTTTAGCTGCCCTTCCATTCTAAATGAAAACTTTGCTGGATAGAGTAATCTTGGATATAGGTCCTTGCCTTTCATGACTTGGAATACTTCTTTCCAGCCCCTTCTTTCCTGCAAGGTTTCTTTTGAGAAATCAGCTGATAGCCTTATGGGAACTCCTTCATAGTTAACTGTCTCCTTTTTTCTTTCTGCTTTTAAGATTCTTTCCTTATCTTTCACCTTGGGTAATGTAATTATGATGTGCCTTGGTGTGTGCTTCCTTGGGTCCAACTTCTTTGGGACTCTCTGAGGTTCCTGGACTTCCTGGAAGTCTATTTCCGTTGCCAGATTGGGGAAGTTCTCCATCATTATTTTTTCAAATAAGCTTTCAATTTCTAGCTCTTCTTCTTCTTCTGGCACCCTTATGATCCAGATGTTGGCATGTTTAAAGTTGTCCCAGAGGTTCCTAAGCCTCTCCTTATTTTTCTGAATTCTTGTTTATTCATTATGTTTTGGTTGAATGTTTATTTCTTCCTTCTGCTCCAAACTGTTGATTTGAATTCCGGTTTCCTTCCCTTCACTGTTGGTACCCTGCATATTTTTATTTACTTTGCTTAGCCTTCACTTTTTCATCTATTTTGTGACCATACTCAACCATTTCTCTGAGCATTCTGATTACCAGTGTTTTGAACTCTGCATCTGATAGGTTGCCTATCTCTTCATTGCTTAATTTTATTTTCGGAGCATTGATCTGTTCATTTGGGCAAGTTTGCTTTGTTTCGTTGTGGCGGTTACATAATAAGGGGCAGAGGCATTAGGTGTTTACAAGGGCGAGGCAACTCACATTACTGCATTCGGCACTGTATGTGGGGAAGGGGTCTAAGAGGGAACAGTGCCTGGCTCCCCACTGGCTTTCAGTCACTTCCCCTGCTCCCCACAAGCAAATTGGGTCCTTCTGGTGCTGATTCCTGGGTGGGTGGGTTTGTGTCTGTTCTAGGACCCTGTGGGTCTCTTCAGTGAACTGTCCTGTGAAGCTGGAAGTTTCTCCTGCCACTATAACACCCTCAGGTTTTTTATAGCCAGAGGTTTTGAGTCTTTCTTTTTCCATGCTGGAACCCTGTGTTGCATGCTCTGTCCTGCTCCCCAGTTGTTCCTCCCTGTTTATCCGCACTTGAATGTGGGACCACCTGGTCCTCCAGTCACCACCTTGCCACGCATCCTCTCTGCTCTGGCCGCCCATCTCCACTCCTTCTACCAGTCCACATGAATGTTTCTTCTTTAACTCCTTCATTGTTAGATTTCCATTCAACTCAATTTTCTGGCAGTTCTGGTTATTTTTTGTTTTTAAATATGCTGTTGTCCTGCTTTTGGTCATGGGAGGAGGCAAAGTGTATCTGTCTGTGGCTACATCTTGGTCATCCCCCCCTTTTTAAAATTTAAAAATAGCTTGAAGCCCATAAAAATTTACCCATAAGAATCACCTGCTGGGGCTCACTTTCTCTCTGTGGCGAACACAGCTCTATCTCCTCTCCAAGACCATGTGGGCCAATAGGACAGACAGAATACATCATATTGTATGGCTGGGTTTGCTTTGTATGTGTGGGAGGGTCATGTGGGGGAGGGCACTAGTCTCCACAGCATAAACCCTGAGATGGCAGCAGGAGTGCCTCAGCATTTCATGGCCTGCCCCAGAAATGACGAAGGGAATCAGAGGGCTGTCAGGTTACTGAGGCACTAGGATTAGTACTTTCTTTTTTTTTAAATTTTAATTAATTTTATTTAGTTATTTTTCAAGTACAGTTTTTGTCTATTTCTCCCATCCCAGCCTCCCCCGCCTCTTGCTCCCCACCTCCCTCCCATTTCCACCCCCCCTTAGTTCTCGTCCCTGTGTCCTTCCTATTTGTTTCTCCCAATCCCTCCCCCTTTTTCCCCTTAACTTCCCTTCCTACTCCCCTCTGGTCACTGTCCCCTTGTTCTCTATTTCAGTGTCTTTGTTTTTGTTTTTTTTTCTGCTTGCTTGTTTGTTTTGTTGTTTAGCTTCCTGTTAAAGGTGAGATCATATGGCATTTGTCTTTCAGCACCTGGCTTATTTCACTCAGCATAATGCTTTCCAGTTCCATCCATGTTGTTGCAAAAGGTAGTAACTCCTTCTTTCTCTCTGCAGCATAGAATTCCATTGTGTATATGTACCACAATTTTTTCATCCATTCATTTACTGATGGGCACCTAGGTTGCTTCCAACTCTTGGCTATTGTAAATTGTGCTGCTGTGAACATTGTGGTGCATGGGTTCTTTGATATTGATGTTTTAGGATTCTTAGGATATAATCCTAGCAGTGGAATTGCTGGGTCAAAAGGCAGGTTGATTTTTATTTTTCTGAGAAAATTCCATACTGTTTTCCATAATGGTTGTACCAGTCTGCAATCCCAGCAACAGTGAACTAAGGACCCCTTTTCCCCACACCCTCTCCAACATTTGTTGTTTGTTGCTTTGTTTATGATAGCCATCCTGACCGGTATAAAGTGGTATCTCATTGTGGTTTTAATTTGCATCTCTCTGATAGCTAACAATATTGAGCATCTCTTCATGTGTCTCTGAATGTTCTGTATGTCCTCCTTGGAGAAGTGTTGGTTCAAGTCCTTTTCCCTTTTCTTTTTTTAGCCACCACCAATTTTTTTATTTATTTATTTTTCTTTTTTTTTTATTGTTTATGCTGTTACAGTTGTTCTATTCCCCCTTTATTCCCCTCCACCCTACCCCCCATCCCCACCATCACCCCCCCTTTAGTTTATGACCATGTGTCTCAAGTCCTTTAGATTCTATATTTCCCATGCTATTCTTGCCCCCCATCTATTTTCTATCTACTGTCTATGCTACTTATTTTCTGTACCTTCTCCCCCTTCTCCTCCTCCCACTCCCCTGTTGCTAACCCTCCCTGAGATCTTCATTTCTATGTTTCCACTCCTGATCTAGCTGTCCTTTTAGTTTGCTTTCGTTTTAGGTGTGGTTGTTAATAACTGTGAGTTTGTTGTCCTTTCACTGTTCATGTTTCTTTAACTTCTTTTTCTTAGATAAGTCCCTTTAACATTTCATATAATAAGGGCTTGGTGATGATGAACTCCTTGAATTTGATCTTATCTGAGAAGCACCTTATCTGTCCTTCCATTTTAAATGAAAGTTTTGCTGGATAGAGCAATCTTGGTTGTAGGTCTTTAGATTTCATGGCTTGGAATATCTCTTTCCAGCCCCTTCTTGCCTGTAAGGTCTCTTTTGAGAAATCCGCTGACAGTCTGATGGGGACTCCTTTGTAGGTGACTGTCCCCTTAGCTCTTGCTGCTTCTAGGATTCTCTCCTTCATTTTAATCTTGGCTAATGTAATTACGATGTGCCTTGTTGTGTTCCTTCTTGGGTCCAACTTCTTTGGTACTCTCTGAGCTTTGGTACTCTCTTGGATTTCCTGGAAGTCTATTTCCTTTGCCAGATTGGGGAAATTCTCCTTTATTATTTGTTCAAATAAGTTTTCCACTGGTGGCTGTGCCTTTCCCCCTTCTGGTACCCCTATAATTCGGATGTTGGAGCGTTTAAAGATGTCCTGGAGGTTCCTAA